CTGGCCTTGTGAAGGAATTGTAATTTTAAAGTCAGGAAGGTTCTGTAGGGAGTGTTTTGGAAGAGGAGGAGTTTGGTTTGGTGGTTTTTTTCCTTTTTTTTTTTAATAGATAGAATTTGGTTTTTAAAACAACTTTCTACCTTTTTTGAGTTGTCAGAGACTGTGGTGTTGCTATAAATCAGAGAATTTAAAGGGATAGCTTTATTTTGATTCCCATAGGAGAAAGGCTGGAGACAGCACCAGTGGGTCCAGCTTTTCCACACAAGATCTGGATTCACCTGTGGGATTTGAAATGCTGGCAGAAATCAAGTCTTAGTGGCAGGAAGCACTTGCAGACAAAATGCTCTTTGCACCAGCTCCTCTCTGCTGAGGGAAATGACCCATTGGTTTGACCAAAATGGTTTTTGCTTTGCTGAGCAAGGACGAGTCTCCAAAATCCCCCTGTGAGCTGCTCCGCTCCCCACGCTGCTGTCACACGCACGCAGATGTGTTTATCTGCCTGTGAAATCCCTCCTGGTGCTGCCGCCTCGTCTCTGTCAAAAAGTTCAAGCTGCTGTGCTGTTGAATCCTGCTGCTCGGCAGGAATCTTGTGCGGAGGGAACGAGGAATGGCAATTCCCGGCAATTCCCGGCAATTCCCGGCAATTGGAATTGAGCCGTGCGGGCAGCGAGGGTTTCCCCGCTGCCGAGAGCCCTGGGCTGAGCTCATCCCAGCAGCCGCTGCCAGTTTGCTCACGCAGGGATTTCGGGGACGAGGAGGAGGATTTGGCACAGAGCTGCTTCTGAGGCTTCTCGCCTCAATCCTCTCTCTCTGCTGCCGCTGCCAGCAAAGGAAGGTTACAAGGAAAGGATACGTCCTGCCGGGAGTGCAGAGTTTTGCACTTCCAGAAACGGCATCTAGTGAAAATCCCTTTGCTAAAAGAATCCTTTCTTTACATTGTCCCCTCCTCCCGTTTATTACAAAAAAAAATCTGGTGCAGCTTTAACCTGTAAAGTTCAAGCTGCAGTTCACGTGTGTAAACCAAGCTGTCCCCCTCCTGTGTTATGTCGATTATAACAGCCTTTAAAACTGCTCAAACTCTAAATAGGGGTGCAGGCATTTACAAAATATTCCTTCAACTGCCATCTACACTGAGAGTTTTAAATTGGCTTAAGAAGGTTTCCAGTTATAGTTTATTCTGGCCTTTAGAGACCATTCTGGGAGATTCATTTTTTCTCTAACCCCACCGTGGTCTTTCATAGAAGTTCCACTATATTTGGACTCCAACCTTGGGAATCTGTTATTTCAAGACAACATAAAGTATGTGCAACCACGTTTCTGTTACAAAAATAGCGCTGCCAACATCATAATTTACCCCCCTGAAGCCGCCCAACGAGGCCCTTTTGCCCCCAGCTGTACAAAGTGCTCTTACACACAGGAATGGTACTGCTGTCAAATTGAATTGGAAGGATGTGCCAAAAAAGCTTAGAGAAATGTAAAAAGAACATGTAAAAAATGTGAATGAGAAATGTAAAAATCTAGTGAGGTTTGCTGAGAGACATCCCCCAACATGGTTTGCTGGACATCCCCAACTTGCCAGGCAGCAATAAATGCAGAACTTAAAATCCTGTTTAGCGACAAGAAACTCAAACTGTGCAGCATCTCTTTTTTATTTATTTTTTTTTCAGTCTGTCTGCTTTGCTTTACTCTTGGGCTGAGCAAAACATCTGTCCTTGATGTTCCCGTGTAGTGCCGGCCATATGGAGAGCAAGAACTGTCTCAGCTACATTTTAAAATAAAAAAAATAAAATAATAAAATAAAATAAAATAAAATATAAAATAAAATATAAGATAAAATAAAATAAAATAAAATAAAATAAAATAAAATAAAATAAAATAAAATAAAATAATAAAATCACTACATCACCTTGTAAATTAATAGCTTTTTTTGGCTCGTGGGAGCTGCTGCTCCCGAGGGTGCAGCCAGGAGGATGTGCTGGTGCAGGGGCAGCTCTCTGCTGACAGGGATTGCCAGGGCTGGGCAGCACCGAGGTGACACCGCCTGATGCCAAATCACAGCTTGTTACAGATTGTGACCGCTATTTCCCTGCGTTTGAGCGAGTTAGTTTGGAGGTACCACAGTCCGGCTGTTTTATGCTGAAAGGCTCAGAGGAAGTTTCACTCAGTTCAG